TGTGACTGTTCCAGCTTACAGATAAATGCTCCAGCCAGGAGAGGGACAGGAAAAGGAAAATGAAAGAGTTTGGTACTTGTTGAGACAATATAACGTTGAGCCTGTGTTCTTTCTCTTCCACACAGCTTTTACATTTGAAAGCACTCAAAAATCTGGGTTTTGTCTGCAAGTGTCAGTATAAAAACAAACTGTGTGCCCAGATGAAAAGAAAATGAAAGTTTATTATCAAAACCTTTTAGAATAGTATTAATTTTAGAATAATGCTTGTTTGAATGTAATTAACAACACTGAGAAGCATAAAAACATACTAATGCAGGCAGATATTCAGGTGTTTGTGAGTGCTGATAGTACTGAAGTTGCTGAAGAAGTTATAAATGACTCTTCAGTAGCACTCTCTAGAAGGCAGCCTGGACACATTATTTTACCCACAGCTTCCTTCATGGAAAACCATGATTTCATTTTCCTGTGGAAGAAAACACACATTCTAATGATTCTAATAACCAAATTAACTTGGTGTCAATCCCGTCATGGTAAGAAAGATTCCCAAAGCCTTGAACTCTGTGAAATTCCCATATCCTTTACAAGCACCTGCCCAGAAATGAGAAAGACGTCTTGAGGATGGATCAATACCTAACAAGAGCGTTATTGCTTTGAGATCCTGAAACTAGTAATGATTAAAGATGACGAGGCAAATTCATTGGTTCTCTAAGCAGGGACACTGGCTGCTAAGAAATCGTTTTCCTCTGTCTATAAGGACAGCACCATCTTGTGGTGTGGTACAGGCCATAGAATTCCAATTTACATCTCACAATCTCTTGCATACAGAAGGATGCTGTAAGATTTGCTACCCAGTATGGAATTCTGGTCACTGAAAACAGCACAGGAACTTTTCATGTCGCTTCAGCATTGCTTATTTGAGCACTACTAGGTGCTGGCATCATGTAAGAGTGCTCTAGTCTGCAGACAGGTCACTGCTTATCAATACACCACCAGTTTTACAGGAGTATCACAATAACCACTCAGTCTAAGCTGTGCCTGGGTTTTTTTTGGTTGCTATTCACCTCAGCAGTGGATCTAGAGGATTTCGCGGATACTCGGGTATAATGTGCAGTAGTGCTTCTTTCTTTGTACTTTATTACCTCATTTTAGAATGAGGTGTCCAGGCTCGGAGAACATTGTCTTTGCTTTCTCTCTTTGGCATGATGCCAAATGCATTTTACCAAGAGACTGAATGAATTATAGTCACTCTTTGTATTTTCTTGTGGTTAATAGTCTGTCTTCTGTCCATAGAATCCCAGACTGGTCTGAGTTGGAAGGGAC